TTTTTTTGGTACCACGGATTGAACCCAGGGACATTTAACCACTGAGCCATATCCTCAGCCCCTTTTATTTTTTGTTTAGAGATAGGGTCTTGTTAAGTTTCTTAAGGCCTCTCTAAATTGCTGAGGCTGGCTTTGATCCTCCTGCCTCAGCCTCCTGAGCTGCTGAAATTATAGGCATGCGCCACCATGCCCGGCTTTAAAGTATTTTAATACAGCATACATCCTGTGAAATAGAGATTATTATCTCCCTTATCACATAAGGAAACTGAGGCCTAAAGAGGTGGAATAACTTATTCAAGCCTATACAACCTGCAGAAAAGTATTTTTTTATTAAAACATAGATATGCTATGACCCAGAATGAAAAATCTTCACTAATTTCAGAGATTAAAATTGGTGGCTGCATAGAAATCCCATGTGAGCTGTGCCTTGAACCTCCCAAAGGAACACTTCCCTCACTCACTAGGGGTACTTCAGTGTGAAAGTAAGAACAGCCCCATCTGCCAACATGAAGTTAGGATAACAAGATGTACACCAAAAAAGTGAACTTCTGATAAAGACTTCAGTCATGATGCCATCAGGAACGTGAGTGACAATGTCTCAAGGTGCCAAATGGCAGATGAAGGGGAACGATGGGAAGTGCTCTGTGTTGACAGGAAAGAGCCGTTATGAGAGAGCCGCAAAGGTTGGTGGGTAGAATGGGGTTTTGAAAGGAAGGAAAATGTTGTACAAGAGAGGAGGGGATAGTGAGCATGTTCTAGCTTATGAAAAATACATGTCCAGACTACAGAAGCCAGAACAAATTTGGAGAATTTCAGGGTGAGAGAAGAGAGAGAGCCTGGCTAGAGAAAAAGATCCTGAAGGAGAGAAACCAGAAGCAGTTCTAAGAAGGAATACTAGGCTGGTTCCTGAGGGATGTCCTCTGAGATCCAATCTCTCTTCTGTTCCTTTCACCCACAGGTCAGGGGTTACCCAGACGTTCACTGAACAGACCTGAGCTGCCTCCAAAGGGATCTGATTACTTGATGTCTTCTTCAACCCAGTCTACTTCCAGATGAATCCCAACATCCTCACCCAAGTGTGCTGCCCAGCCCAGCCTTGACTTTAAAGTCACATGTTACTCCAGGAAGAACATCCAACAATTGACTAAGGGATGTAATAGAATGATTGGGAAAGGATCTTGGTGTTTTAAACAAAAAGACTATTATCAATTAGGCCCTGGACAAATGGGCCAGGGCACCTAAGAAGGGGTGGGGATGAGGAAAATAGTGCAGCCACTTCAGCCCAACTTCTCATCCCACAGCTGGGCTCACAACTTGACTGATCTCTTCTCCAAAGTATCCTTTCCAGGAGTGGATAAAAAGGCATCTTTGGGCTCCGTCAGGGCAAGCTTTTCCATCCTTTTCCAATATTCAAAGAAGCTAAATAGCATCTTCCCTTTCTCCTACCTACCCAAGCCTTCACCTCCTCCCCTATTCCCATTCTCCATTGCACCCTTGTAAACAGGGACACAGAACTCTGCCAGCTCAGATGACCATTGTCCATGTCTGAGATGCATAAATTTGGTTCTGTGGGCCCCTACGTAGGGTGTGTGGAGAGAGAGTATACACTATGCTGGATATATAGCATTTATTTTTTTCTTTTTCCTCCCTGTTCTGGATATTGAACTCAGATCCTTGATTATGCCAGGCAGGCACTCTACCAATGAGCCATAGCCCTAGCCCAAATGTCTATTGCATTTTCCATTACCCACAGAACCTCATGTCATGTAATAAGCTCCTTATGTCCTTGTCTTTGGTTGTCTCCAATAGTTCCAACCAATGTTAGATTAGTTGTAAAGTTAAAAGGAACAATTTTTTCACACATCACTAATTCTTCATTGATTGGTTTAATCAAATATCTAGTGTATCCACAAGTAAATTTTAAAAGTTTCTTTTTGGGGCACAGAAAGTAATTGTACACTTTGGTTTTACATACTTTCTTACAATTACTTTTTAAGGGTTTATAATTCATTATAATAAATCCCATTAAATCAGGCAGTGCTTTTCAAAGTCTGGACTATGAATTTTTTATTTTAAGCGATATTTGGTCAAGGTAAAATCCAGTAAAACCTGAGAACTTCAGACTCAAGCCATGTTAACTCTAGGTACTAGCAGTTCCTGTCATTTCTTTAAATATTTGAGGGTTGCCATATCTTTTTTTCTTTTCTTTTCTTTTCTTTTAAACCAGGGATTGAACTCAGGAGCACTCGACCACTGAGCCACATCCCCAGCCCTATTTTGTATTTTATTTTCACTGAATTGCTTAGTGCCTCACTTTTGCTGAGGCCAGCTTAGAACTCGAGTTTCTCCTGCCTTAGTCTCCTGAGCCGCTGGGATTACAGACGTGAGCCACTGCACCCAGCAAAGGGTTGCCATTTCTTTGTTCATACTTAACCAACTGGATCTTTTTTTTGTTGAATGTGAACTCTCCTGCTATCCAGTTAAAGTTCATTGTTTTTAAGAACTTTTAAAAAAAAATATGAATATTACTTTAACCTGGCCACTGTGTTCTGCTTTTACATAGTTGATTAAAAACAGAGCTAAACCCTGGGGATTACTACAATACAAACAATTTATTCTTCAGGACGTTTCTCTAAGCAGATTAACTTTCTTGACCCTTGCACAGCAAGATATGGTCTTTCTAAACTCCCAGCTCATGTTATCCTTAATGTGGTACAGTCCCCAGGGCCATCTCTAGGGAAGCACTTACCCACACCAGGACCCAGGCCAAATACTTGGGTACATAAATGAAAACAAAGTCCCCGCCTTAGAGGACCTCAAAATTCATGGTGAGAAGTGTATAAACAATTAAATAGCTCATCATTAACTCACAATACAGCTGTACATACAAAACAGTAAAGGAGTGTGAAAAGTGCTGTGGAATCAGAGGAATTTGTTCTCTTGGGGAAGAATGCTGAGAACTGAGGAAGACTTCATAGAGGTGGTACATTTTGAAATGGGGTTTGCGGGACGAGGAAGCGTTTACTAGGCAGAGTCAGGCTTGGTGATGCACACCTGTAATCCCAGCAGCTCTGGAGGCTGAGACAGGAGGGTTGCAAGTTCAAGGCCAGCCTTAGCCTCAGTAACTTAGTGAGAGACCCTGTCTCAAAAAAAAAAAAAAAAAAAAAAGTTTACTAGGTAGAGATGCATGAAAAGAATATTCTAGGCAGTGAGACAGCTCTTTTAAAGAAATGGCATGGAGTAAGGACAAGAGGTGGGGATGGGATGATGAGTAGTTCAGTGTCACTACAGCACGGAGTGCTTCAGGTGACATGGTGGGAGACGGAGAAACAGGTGGGAGCCAAGATTCAGAAGGCCGTGGACACTAGCCTGGTGGATAGATTTGTTCCTATTGGCCACATACCACAGAAGACTTTTGAGCCCCTTTTAACCATTAGATTGGTCCTCTGTCTTTAGAACTGACCAGTGCTCTTCTACTAGTCCAATATTTCTTTCTCTGATCCCCCAAGCTCTACCCAGATCCAGATATCTGCCTTAAGTTTCAAGGCTCTGAAAACTGTTAGGGTTTCGGGAGGGGGTAATTGATCTTTTTTTCAAAAAGGATTTTACATGCTCTTTCTGACACTATACTCAACACGCAAATGGCACTGGTGTTTTGGACTTGAGCCAGTTGGATCTGTTCTCTCCTCAAGGGAGAAGGATTATCTAGATAATCAGTATATTCCAGTTTCTTGCTTAGTTCTTCAGCATTTGTAATCACTATTGAATGAATGTTAGAACTGGTTTGTGATCTTCCTGTTCAACTGGTGGTCACCTAAATAGATAAGGACAGGGCTGAGACCAAACCTCAGGTCTCTTAACTCCCAATCCAGTGCTCTTTTGGATGCACTCCAGCCCCTGACTCTGCCTGGCCAATATGAAAGGAACAGAATGTACTTGGCTGCCTCAAACCCACAGGGTCCTGATTGAGAGCTGGAGCTAAAGGAAGGTCGTGTTCCCAGAATGGAATTCTGTTGTGCCTCAGGCCAGACAGCATAATTCTATGTCTTTTGATACCTTCCTTCTTCTGTAAAATGGGAGCAGAGCCTACCTAATCTTTTAGCTACAGCTGAGATCAAGGAAGGGGTGGGTGGGGTTTTTTTGTTGTTGTTGTTTTGCGGTTGTTTTGTAATGGATGAGGGATGGTGGATCTATATTCAAGTTGAGGAATCTTCAAGTCAGAGTTGGAAGAAGCATTGAGGACAATGTGTGGTGACAAGCAGCCTCCTGCGGTGGACTGAACCAGGAAGAGTCCCTAGAGCTAAAGGTCAAGAGTTTCCTCTTAACAACGGGCTTCCTTTCTTTGGAACTGTTCAAGCTGAGACTGTTCACTGAGGAGGGTCTTCACCTCTGCACTGATGAGGTGGCCAGGTCCCAAGATTTCACGGTTTCGGGCTCCTGTACATTCCCTCCACCCCCAATACCTGCTCAGCTGAGCTGGCAGGGCAGCTGAACAGTGTTAAGAATCACTGCCTGTCAAAGATCCTCAGCGGGCTAACGCCACGGATTACTAGTGACAACAGTAACATTCGCTACCGTTTTCCATTTACCTATAAGCACCAGACACCTTACATACCAAATTGTCTTGGCGAAATAAATGAAGTTGTTAAAAAAAAAAAAAAAAGCTACAATCGTGGCAGGTGCGTTGATCAGGATCTCCATTTAACTGAAGACATAGTTAAACGGAGATCCTGATCAAATGCCACAGTCGTCCAGGGAGCAAGCGTTGATCAATGTAGGCTTATCGAATTGCAAAAATGAATTTCGGCGGTTCTTTTTCTCCAGCTCTTATTTCTAGCTTGCTCCATAAAAGGAGAAGGGGAGGACTTTGGCTAGGTCCAACGCCTCCTCCTCCCGGATGGGGAGACCAGCTGTCTCCAGGCATCAGCCGGGCGGGCGGGACTCGGCCGTGGGCGGGGCCTTCTGTGGGCGGGCTCTGTGGGCGGGGCCGTAGACGGGAAGTGGGCCCCGGGCGGGGACGAACTGGACGCGGAGTCCCTGACGCTGCGTCTCCGGCCTTGAGGGTAGCGGCCTTTTTCTTGGACTAGAATTCCTTCACTTCTGCGTTCTCGCCGCCCGGGACGATGGTGCCCCGCCTACTGCTGCGCGCCTGGCCCCGGGGCCCTGCCATTGGCCCTGGAGCCCCCTGTCGGTCCCTCAGTGCTGACAGTAGGCCTGGCCAGTACCTGCAGCACAGCATCGTGCCCACCATGCACTACCAGGACAGTCTGCCCAGGTGAGCCCGATCTCCCCGACCCCGCCAGCCCAGGACTGACCCCAGCGCGACTCCATTCACTCAGGACTTCTGAAACTGAACTGGCTTACACCCCCAAACCCCGACCTTGGAGGCAGCCATATTCCCCATTCTCGAACTCCTGTGACTTCCCAGCTTCCAGTTTCTCCAGCCCAGGAACCCCAGAACCTTCAAGTTCTCCAAAATCCTTCCATGCACAATTCTCCGATTCTCCATCTTGAGCCTTTCTCGAATTCCCTCTCCATTAACCTAACTTCCAACCGGATGGATGGATGGATGGATGGAGTGCCTCAGGATTGAGGCCCTCATATTTTTCCTTGAAATATGTCCTGCCTGAATATCTCCAAAACCATCAGAATCCTTCCAAACTAGGGGTATCTAATGAATGCTGAGCATTCCTGCCTGGAATATTTAGGTTGCCAGTTTCTGATATTAATAGTACTGTGGTTACCCTTCCTCAAGTTCTCCCAGGGCTCCCCCTTCTTCACCCATTACTCAGAACTTTCAGTGCCACTCCTCATTCTTCCACCCTCCTCTTTTAGCACCCCATTAGTCTTCACAAGCACTGCTGCATGTTCACTCTTACCTTCAACCATACCCCCACCATGCACATCCTAACTTCTAAGTCCAGTCTTAACCTGGAAACGTTTCACAAGCCACCAGACCCTCCTCAGCATCCCTCCCTTCAAGTTCCTCTCTCTAAAATATCCTCCCTCACAGACATTTCTCCCTGCAACTTCAGCCCACCCTCATAGAATTCTTGAAACTGTCCTCAGTGCCCCTTGAGGACTTCATCTCTTTCAAATTAGATCCAGGACTCTCCCAAATTTTCAATGCTCTTCATCATAGGCTACCATCCCCACCTTCTGAAACATGAAACACCCTATAAGAATAGCCCTAAGTCTTTCTCTCCCCAACCCTTACCTAGCACTTCCCAGCTTCCAGTTTTTCCAGTCTTTGAACTCCCAGCCTTCATCTAAATTGCCAGCTCTCCTTCTCCAGAAAGAAATTAGAAATTTCCTTCACTCTCTGAAACTGAACCTAAATTGTCATCTCTACTCACTCACCATTTAGTTCCTGGAGCCAAGTTTCAATTTGTTTCAGAAATCCTTCTCTCTTTCTCACTAAACTGTCATCAGGAATCCTCCAAGCTAGGGGCCAGTACTCGCTCCCCAGCAGCATTATATCACAGGCAGTGCCCCCAGCCACAAGGTTGCTGTTTTTCTTTATATCCAAGAGTTATGTTTAACCCAACATCAGTGCCCACACTCCCCTCTCAGGAAGATCATCCAAAGGCAATTCTGAAATAACAGTGTGCAGACCTCTAAGACAGACTAAAATGAGATTATCTGAACTAGTAGGAGAGAGAAAGAAAACAGAGTCTGTGTGCCTGAGGGATAAGCCTGGGACCTGCCTCCTCCTTGTCAGCATGTGTGTCTGAGCTGTGCTTGTATGTGGGGGAAAGGTCAGGACTGACAAACCTGTCTTCAATTGCCAAATCCAGAGTCATGGTCATTGACTTTCAGGCAGGCCCACGCCCCACCCAGGTTTAAGATCAAAAGGAGTTTCTGTATTTCAGACTTGGAAAGCTAGAAAGAATATTTAAGATCATTTATTCCAAAGCCATCCACAGCACAAAAATCTGTAGGAATCTGCAAGAATAAACCATAATGCTCACTGCCCATTAAGCAACCAGTTTTCATGACCTCATCTATAAAGTGGAGTTAGCTGGGGGATAAAAGTCCTTCTAAATTCTGGAGTAGAGATGACAATTTAGGTTTAGTTTCAGAGAGTGAAGTAAAATGTATCATCTTTGACATTTATCTTGATGTCAGACTTGGTAAAGAGCCCTTACTTTGAAGTCTGGTAGAACTTAGTTTCAGATTCTATATCTGCAACTGTAGCTATAATTTTGGGCAATTCAGTTAACTTAGTGACAGTCCCCTGTGAGTGGCAACACACAGTTCTCTGTTGTACCATAATACTGAGATAAGATACAAGAGATAGGGAAGTATCATAATTAGTCACTCCCTCCTCCTTATCTGTCAGTTTTCTTATTACCTTTGCCTTTTAACTTGGTAGACTTGGATGCTCTTTCTACCAGGATCCCTCCCACTATGATTTGCCTGTTGTTTGTTTGTTTTTATGAGTGTGGTAAAATATGCTTTACATAAAATTTACTATTTTAACCACTTTTAGCTGTATAGTTCAGGGATATATATAGAGTGTGTGTGTGTGTGTGTGTGTGGTGCTGGGCATTGAACCCAGGGCCTTGTGCATGGGAGGCAGGCACTCTACCAACTGAGCTATATCCCCAGCCCAGGGTGTATATTTTTTTAAGAGGTGTATTTATATAACTTGGGACTATGAAACTGTAAGTCCTAAGGAAACCAAGGATGGATCTGATTGGCCTCTAATCCACATCAATGAATATTTATCAAATATTTATTGATGTGGATTAGAGGCCCATCAGGAATGGGGAGGCACTTGTGGTTCAGTGGAGGAGATAAAACAATGACAGGTAAACAATGTTATAATGTGGATAAGAGGGAAATGACATCTTGCTGTCCTTAAAATAATGAGATAGGAGTCAGACCTGATTTATTTATTTATTTATTTATTTACTTATTTACTTATTTATCTATCTATCACTTTATGGTTCCAGGGATTGAACAAGTCACATCCCTAGCCTGCCCCACTTTTTATTTTGAGACAGGGTCTCACTAAATATTCCTGTCTCAGCCTCCCGAGTTTCTGAGATTACAGGTGTGTGCCACTCACACCTGACTTTAACCCCAGCTCTACTTTTTACTGTTTGCATGGCCAGGAGCAAGCTGTATTACCTAAAAATGGGAATGTTAATATTACCTTCCTTTCTGAGTAGTTAGAACCAAACCCTGTGATAGAAAGCACTTGGCTGGATCTTATGGCACATGCCTGTAATCTCAGCAATTTGGAAGGCTGAGACAGGAGGATGGAAAACTTGAGACCAGCCTCAGCAACTTAATGAGCCCTGTCTCAAAATTAAAAAAAGAAAAAAATTTTTTAAAGAGCTGGGGCTCTTAAAAAAAAAAAAAAAAAAGCTGAATCTGGCACATAATAAGTACATGGTGTCAGTCACAAGTACTGTAACTGGTGTAAATAATCACCGAAAGAAAGCCATTGTGTTGAGTGAGCGTAGAGGTGCAAGTGACTTAGAGCCTGGGTGAGGGAAGTTTCACAGAGAAAGTAGCACTTGAGCTGGAATCTGAAATTCACCAAGTGAGCAGTAATGAGTAAAGGACAGAGAGGAACATGACAAGGAACAGATAACTGCAATCTGTGATGTGACCAGAAATTTTGAAAGGTTTATGATAGGCTCAGCCCAAGAAAAGAATCACTATGTAGGCCTTAAGTTATTGGAGTTGGTGTGGGGTGTGTGGGGGGAGAAGAGCCCATTATTAGGCACTATGTTAGGTCTATAATTGATGCACAATAAATGTCAGTCATCTGTTGTTTTTCTTTCTAATCACTTTTGGTGATGACTGGTGTGGAGACATAATAGGCAGGTTCTCTAGAATTCCTGCAGGAGGCAGAAGAGTCTGAGATTCCAGGATGTGGAGAATAACAGGGAAAACAGTAATGTTTCAGGCCCCACAGGCATGTCTTTCAGACCTATCTTCTTGTCTTCTAGAATAAATTTTATTCCCTAGCAACTCTGTGAACACTATCCCAAGTGTAACTAGATCCTGTAGATGCAGAGAAGGCTTTTTAGCTGTGTTCTTGCAGGAGAAATCCCAAAGTGCCTACTTCTCAGAGGAGTATTGGGGAACGAGTAAGTGACCAAGAGGAACTTAAACAGGAGATAAATCAGTGTAGCACTTACTTCCATCTTTATTACAGCAAATGACTTTTCAATGGGAGTGGGTGGAGAAGGAAAACCCAGGTAGTTAAGATGGAACTGTCATGTACCTCCCTTAACACCTGGGCTCTACCTCTTTCAAGGCCTGTTGAATTACATCACAGGGAACTCCAGGAACTGTGGTGCACATGTTCAATCACTTGTGGTGTTCTCTGAAGAATGTGAAGGAAGTAGGGTAGTGCATAGAGACTGGACTTGCTCTCACATCTCAGTTTTTCAAGAGAATGAATGTTAACTGGAAGAATGGCTTCTGAACACTTACTGAAAAAGAAATTGTTATGGTGCAGACCTTTGTGGTAGCAAGTTATAGAAATTTCAAGTCAAACTGGGCTTTAGCAAATGAATTCACAGTCCTGAAAAATAGCCAATGGATCAAGAGGATCATATGATGTCATTTAGACCCTGTTTCGGCTTCCTGATGAACTCTTCATTTATAGAACTCCATTCTCAAACAGGTTTTCTTCCCCTGGTGACAGAGTGGTAGCCAGCACATAAGATGTAGCTTACATCCTGATCTTTTAGTGACACAAGCTAATAGAGATTGCCCTTCCTGGGAGTTCCAAAAAAAAAAAAAAATCCTGTCTGATTGGTTCTTACTGGTCTCATCAGTCCTATACTAGTAATCTGTAAGCCCACCCCTGGGAGTTTGAGGTAGTCGGTTCCACCAGCACCACTGGTACTGAGTAGGAAAGGTTAGTTCTTCCACAAAAACAGGGTACTATTACTAGAAACCTGGGAGAATGGATGTCAGGTGGCCCAAAAGCAGAAATGAGAAAATTCTATGCTAGGCACTGAGGAGAGGTGGTGATGAGCTGATTTCCTAGAGAAGTGAAAAGACTAGGGGCAGAGTTTGGAGCTACAGGACTTGAGGACTGACTAGTTTATTGAGTCTTTCCTATGTGCTAGGCACTCTTCTAAATCATTGATAAGCATTGCGGCATTTAACCAGTATAGAACCCTAAAGTGGTACAAATGCATATTACCCCCATTTTATAGATGAGGACACTTGGGTACAAGACAGTTGTATGCCCACAGTCACACAACTGTGAGGGATGCAGCCAGAGTCAGCTCTCTAAATTTCCTTGCAAGGGCAGGAATCAATATGACTCCTGAAGTTGTAGTCACAGAGTTAGAGAGGGCCCTAGAGCCATTTCTTTCAGTTTCTTCCTTTTACTGAGAAAAAAATTACCAGAGATGAAAAGTAACTTTTTTAAAAAAAAATTATAACAGCAGGGTGCAGTGGCACTTGCCTGTAATCCCAGAGACTTGGGAGGCTGGGAGGAGGAGACTTGGGAGGAGGATCTCAAGTTTGAGGCCAGCCTCAGCAACTTAGTGAGGCCCTAGCAACTTAGCAAAACCCTGTCTTAAAATATAATTTTTTTTAAAAAGGGCTGGGGATGTGGCTCAATGGTTAAGTGCCCCTGGGGTCAATCACTGGTACCAAAATAGATAGGTAGACAGATAGATTAGATAAATTAACAGCTTTATGGGGAGGCTGAGACAGGAGGATCTCAAGTTAGAGGCCTGCCTGGGCAATTTAACAAGATCCTGTCTCAAAAAATAAAGCTGGGTACGGTGGTGCACACCTATAATCTCAGCTACTTGGGAACCTGGACAGGAGGATTGCAAGTTTGAGGTCAGTCTGGGCAATTTAGCAAGATCCTGACTCAAAAAATAAAGGAATTGGGGGGAGGGGTGTGGCTCATATGAAACACCACTGAGTTCAATCCCCAGTATGAAAGAAATTTTTTTACTAAAATGTGGAGTTACCATTGATACATTAATGATCAATTTTCTCATTTGCCTTGTGAAGCTAATTAATCTCTTTAACATATTGTCTGCCTTATGCTGACTTTGCTTTCTCTCCAGGCTGCCTATTCCCAAACTTGAAGACACCATTAGGAGATACCTCAATGCACAGAAACCTCTCTTGAATGATGGCCAGTTCAGGTAAATGCTGACTACTCTGAATGACTATGGTTGGGTGGTTCCAGAGAGCCTGGCAAGTAATGGTGGACCAAGCTTCAGGGAATGTCTGTGACTTGATTGGATCTCCAGAACCTGGAACCTAGTTTATACTTTTGCAAGTTCAGGAAAAGATTTTCATTTCCAAAAGACTGAGCAGTCTCTGAGGTGAGAGTCCTTCCAACCTGACTCAACAGATGGTTTATGAGCCAGAATGCCTTACTTTTTCAGGGGAGGGGTTACTGGGGATTGAACTTGGGAGCACTCAACCACTGAGCCACATCCCCTGCCCTAATTTGTATTTTATTTAGAGACAGGGTCTCACTGAATTATTTAATGCCTCCCTGTTGCTGAGGCTGGCTTTGAACTTGTGATCCTTCTGCCTCAGCCTCCCGCTGGGATTCTAGGCCACTGTGCCCAGCCAGAGTACCATACTTGTACTTTATCTTGGCAGGTGTACCTGGGAGGCCAGCTGGTACTGGTCATTTGCAGAGGGCGTGTATTCTTGGTAGAGAGGTCCATTGAGAACCATATGGCCCACCAGAAGTTTGCTTGTTGAGCATGTTTATGGTGCTGGATAGTATGACTTCCAAATCCATGCCCTTTTCAGAATCTCAGAATGTGATCTTATATGGAAATAGGGTTGTTATAGATGTAATTAGTTAAGATGCGGTCCTACATCTTACTGGAGTAGAGGAGTAGAATAGGTTTTTTTTTTTTTTTTTGGTCTGAGGGATTGAACCTAGAGGGCCTTATCCACTGAGCTATATCCCCAGACCTTATTTTTTATTTTGAGATACGAAGTTGCTAAGGCTGGCCTTGAACTTGCTATCCTCCTATCTCAGCCTCCCAAATCACTGGGATTACAGGCATGTGCCATTGTGCCTAGCAGGGTAGGTCCTTAATCCAATACAATTCATGTTCTTATAAAAGAGTAAAAGAGATATAAACAGCGATGTGAGGATGAAGACAGAGATTAGAGTGTTGTATCAACAACCCAAGGAGAGTCAAGATTGCTGTTATCATCAGAAGCTAAGAATGGAATAGATTTTCCTAGAGTCTTCAGAGAGATACAGTCCTGTTGATGCCTGGATTTTGAACTATAGCCTTCAGAACTGTGAGAGAATAAATTTCTGTTGTTTTAAGCCCCACCCAGTTTGTGATCATTATGGCAGTCTTAGGAAACTAATACAGCAAAGAATTCAAAAATAATATCAGATATTGCCAAAAAGTGGATTGCATTAAGCTCTGTTAGCCTTGTGTGGTTTGGTACTTTGGTACTTTTTTCATAATGAGAATTTTTTGTATCCATAACTGGCATTTCTATTTGAATCAGAATCCTTCATTGGGCAGTGACAGAGAAACAGAAACTATTTATAATCTAGGTCCCTGCTTTTAAATATTCCTTGTTCAGGAACTGTTAGTGTTCTCTTCAGATGGATGAACCACTTAATTTACCCACATTACCTCAAACGGTGAAATTGCATTAAAATAACCAAACTTTGAAATTAAAAAAAAAATTCTTGTAAGTCACTAGAAGTTTCTTTTAATATAGTAATGAATTAACAGCTACCAGTTACAAAGTGAGTATTATGTTTTAGACTATATATTTTTTAACTTTGTAGGGTGGTCTCTTTTACACATCAAGAAACTGAGACTCAAGAGAGAATGTATAACTTGTCCAAAGTCACACAGTTTAAAAGTGACAGAACCAGAAATTAAACTCAGCTATTTTTTACTCAAAAGCTTATATCCTTTTCTTCATGCCAAACTGCTTCCTAGAGATTAGAGTGTCCTGTGAAATATTGATTAAGCTTCCTGATATCCTAGATTTTTCTGTTTTAGATTGATTCCTTTTCTGCTGATTTCAGAGGTACCTTCTTACCTCCTTCCCAGTTTGTAGGGATATGCTGTTGGGGGATCCACAGATCCCTCTGAATTCTTCTTGACCATGAACCTAAAGGTATTAGGTATTTCCTGCCATGGTTTAATTCTGTCTTTTTTGATCATTTCAGGAAGACAGAACAATTTTGTAAGAGTTTTGAGAATGGAATTGGAAAAGAACTACACAAGCAGCTGGTGGCTCGGGACAAACAGAATAAACACACAAGCTACATTTCTGGTAGGTGGGCTGGCCTGTGGGCAGGACTTTTCCCAGTGCCATCTATAATGAAAAATAAGGAATCCTCTCTGCCATTTTGGTCTCATAAATATATTTAGTGAGACCAGCATTGAAGTTATGGCCCCCTCAACTTCCTGAAGCAGATGTTAAGGCTGCGGGAGCGCCTCCCTAGGTGCTGACTGGGGGCCTCCTCTCTAGCAGTGGCTGCCTTCTCTATTGGTGGAGTCCAATCAAGGACTATCTGAAAAGGATGCAGGATCAGGTCCTGCGGCTTCTTCCTATGGTTCTAGGTCCCCCATAGGCTGACCTAATTGCCCTTTCATGACTCCTCCCGATACACTCCATGCTTCAACAAGCAAGAACTCTGTGGTCCCCTGAACCTGTGAGTCTTTCACCTTCAATGCCTTTTATCCATATTCTTCCCCTTCTGCTTCTTTTTTCTTTTCTTTTTGGTACTGGGCACTGAACCCAGGAGCATTCTGCCTCTGAGCCACATTCACAGCCCTTTTTTATTTTTATTTTATTTTATTTTTTAAATATTTTTTAATTGTTGGTGGACCTTTATTTTATATATTTGTATGTGGTGCTGAGAATCAAACCCAGTGCCTCATGCAAGCACGCTACCACTGAGCCACAATCCCAGCCCACACAGCCATTTTTTAAGAAATGTATTTTAGAGAGAGTTGCATTAAATTGCCTAGGCTGTCCTTGAGTATGCATTGCAGACTTTCTGTTCTGCCTCAGCTTCTGGAATTACAAATCACTGTGCCTGGCTCCATTTTCTTTTTTTTTTTTTCCTGGCAAATTCCTCCTTTGAGATCTGGGTATGGTAGCATTTTTGTTTTGTTTTGTTTTGTTTTTCTTTTTAATATTTATTTTTTAGTTGTAGTTGGACACAATACCTTTATTTCTTTTTATGTGATGCTAAGGATTGAACCCAGGGCCCCTCACGCGCTAGGTGAGTGCTCTACCGCTGAGCCACAACCCCAGCCCTGGATAGGGTAGTTTTTCTATAAATCTTCTCAGTCCTTTCCCCTCTCATTCAAAGTTGGTTACTTCCACCTCTCTTCCTTCAGCACTTCTTTAACTTACTTTTTCTTTGTATCAGGTTATACATGCACATAGTTTAAAGAATCAAGTATTTCCATAAGGCTTATTAGGAGAAGTAGCAATTGCCTGACCTTCCCTTATTTTCACACTTCACACCTTCTTTCATTTCCTGTTTAATTCCCTTGATATGTACCCACAGGTCCCTAAATGATATACTTATATTACTGCATCTTAATTTTAATTTTTTTTTAATTTTAGGCATTATCTGTTGACATCTAACTACAAAGATTAGAATTTAGCAAATGTTTACATCCCCTCCCACATATATAACTGTAGATATTTCTCAGACCCACATTTTCCCAGTATAATTATTTATAATTTTGGTTAATTCAATATTTCTTGTTTGTACTGTTATGATCATACAAATGCTAGTATTAGCTGAGTCATGTAGTACATTGGGATTGTTTTTCCTTTCCTATAGAAACTTATTTTTTTCTCTGAAGTTTTTAAAAATTTTTTTTGGCACTGAGGATTAAACTCAGGAGTGCTTAAACACTGAATCACATCCTCAGCCCTTGTTATTTTTTATTTTGAGACAGTTTCTCTCTGAGTTGCTTAGGGCCTCACTGAGTTGCTAAGGCTAACTTTGAGCTTGTGATCCTGCTTCCTCAACCTCCTGAGTTGCTGGGATTACAGATATACACCACCATACCTGGCTTCTCTAAAGTTAATAATGATCCTGCTGGGCACTATGGCACATGCCTGTAATCCCAGTGGCTCGGAAGGCTGAGATGGGACGATGCCAAGTTAAAAGATAGCCTCAGTAATGGTGAGGCACTAGGCAACTCAGTGAGACCCTGTCTCTAAATAAAATACAAATAGGGCTGGGGATGTGGCTCAGTGATTGGGTGCCCCTGAGTTCAATCCCTGGTACCAAAAAAGAAAAAGAAAAAAGAAAAAAAAGAATAGATGAGACCTTTTTTTTTTGATACCAGGGATTGAACTCAGGGGCACTTGCCCACTAAGCCACATCCCCAGCCCTATTTTGTATTTTATTTAGAGTCAGGGTCTCACTGAGTTGCTTAGCACCTCACCTTTGCTGAGGCTGGCTTTGAAACTTGTGATCCTCCTGTTTTAGCCTCCCAAGCTGCTGAGATTACAGGTGTGTGCCACCCCTTCTGGCTCATCTTTTCTTTTGATTAATAATTTATGCCCATACTCCTCCTAAATTGTCTGAATCTCCTCTGAGTACATGAGAGAACATTACATAGTCTATTAATTTTGTTCTTTTAAAAAATAATATATATATGTATGTGTGTGTGTGTGTGTGTATTAGTTTTAAGTGGACACAATATCTTTATTTTACATTTATATGATGTTGAGGATCAAACCCAGTCCCTCAAGCATGCTTTACCACAAGTGCGCTCTACCACTGAGCCACAACCCCATCTCCTAATTTTTTTCTTCTTGACAAAGTCTCTTCTAGAACTTCTGACTCACTTTGGACTGGGTCTGTGAAACCATTCCTCACGCCACCCCCCCACACTTTTTTTTTTTTTTTGGTACTGGGGATTGAATCCAGGATGCTTTACCACTGAGCCACATCCCCAGCCCTTTTTATTTTTTATTTTTAGACAGGAACTCACAAAATTGCTTAAGGCCTTGCTAAGTTGCTGAGGTTGGCTCTGAACTTGTAATTCTCCTGCCTGAACCTCCTGAGTCACTAGGATTGCAGGTGTGTACCCCCACCTGGCATCTGTGAACTCTTGGCCTGGGATCTTTTTTTGGGAACTTTTTATTTCAGCTGAGTTTCTCTTATTCTTTCTCATGCTGGGACTCTGTTTCTTGGATTTCACATTTTCCTTTCTTAGTGTCTCCTTTATTTTCTTAGAACACAAGATTCCCTTTGCTCTCTGGAAGCAGAACACAGAGAGCAAAAGTTTTGAAAGTTCTCATACTTCAGTGATAATTTATTTGACTAGCTTGAAAATAATTTTTCCACAGATTTTAAAGTCCATACTCCATTATCTTTTATTTTATTTATTTTTTATAGGAAGAAAGGTTTATTTTGGCTATGGTTTCCATCCACAATCAGCTGGTTCTATTCCTTTTAAAAAGCAGAAACATCATGACAGAAAGGTGTGGTCAGGAAAGCTGCTCACCTCATGGTATCCAGAAATCAGAGAGCAAGCAAGTGCTCCATTGCCTTTTACTTTCAGTGTTGCTAAGTTATTTTGTTATTTTGAGTCTTGATCCTTTGCTTCCTCTGTTTCTGGAAGCTTTTAGAAATTTCTCTTTTCCTGGGTGTTCTGAAATTCAGATAATGTGTTTTGGTATGGGTGTATTTATACCTTTTGCTGGGTCACTCAGTGAGTTCTTTGACCCTTCAAACTCATGTTTATCCCAGCTCTAGCATATTCTCGTTTTATTTCTTTGATTTTTCTCTCTTCTTTTTTCTATTTTCTCTTTCTGGTTCTCTTATTCAGTTGCAGAATTTCTGAGCCTGGTCCTCTAATTTTCTTATCTTTTCTCTCATATTTTTTATCTCTTATTCTTGTTCTGCTGTCTGGAAGATGTGCTAAATTCTGTCTTCCAGTCTTTGAGTTTCTAAATTTCTCCTTTCCTGTTTTTCATTTCCAAGGGCTCTTCTTTCTTTCTCTTAGGATGTTCTTTTCTTTTTAAACAATTTTATCTCTGGAATGTTTAAAACATTTTTCTTCTTCCTTCATAGTCAGTCTCCTTCAAATTGCCTTTTTTCCTGTTTGTTTTGCCTCTTTTCTTTCTGCTGATGCTTCTTAATCCTTCTGCTGCCTTAGATATGAGTGACATACTAAAAAGTTATTGAAAGCTTGTGGATGAGGGTGAGGCTTGTTGGTTACACGTGTCACTGTGATGTGATCTGGCTAAACTGTTTCTTTGAGGTTCTCCTAATGGTAGTGTCTTTGAGACAGATTCCTCAGGGAAGGTTTTTCCAGTAAACTGCCAGGAGGTTGCTAGTGTGGTAGAAATAGGGCAAGGGAAACAAGTTTGAGAGCTCAACTGTGATTTAGGTCTTCTAGTTTCACTTTAACCAGAGAATACAAAAAGCCTTCTATCAAAGTAAGGACGAAACACTGGGTTAATAGTAGTGATCTAATTAAACAGTTGTTCAACCAGAGATCTAAACAGCCCGTTACTGAGCTGTCTGGAAGTTCTGCTGTGTAAAACAGATTATTTTTTTATCTGTCTGTCATGCCAGTTTAAGATTGGCTTTCTTGAATCTGTTTTTGGTTATTACCCGTTACCTAAATACTTTCAAGTTTTGAATATTTGCTCTTTTCTCATTCTCTTGGCCTTATTTTGGGGTGTGTGTGTGTGTGTGTATGTGTATGTATGTTTGGGAGAAGGTACCAGGGATTGAACTCAGGGGCACTCAGCCTCTGAACCACATCCCCAACCCTATTTTGTATTTTAAATTCTTTTACTCAAGGTTGGAGTGGGAGTCAGAGTAATGAATTTATATTTTCTTTAATAAAATACATCTTATCCACTAGTACTTCTTTTCTCTCATCATTTTAGGGTATTGCATCACATTTTAATTTTGTTTGTCTACTTCACTAGAATTTTTCAGAATTAAAGAATATATCCTATTCTTCTCTAAATCCCCTGGACCAGGACCTGGTACTGACTGTCAAAGAATGGAATGGAATGAATGGGCCAATGAAGAAGTCATGGTTAAATTGGATCTATTGGTCCTTTCCCAGTGCTACCTGTGAAAATTATTTCCTCTAAAGTCGTAGAGAGTCCTTTTTTGTTGATTTTATCCATGTGTACTAACCTCAGCAGGAATTCCCTTGAAGACACATTTTTCTGATAAAATATTGCGCTGGAAGTTTTGTAGGCAAAACATCCACAGGAATGCAGAGGGCAAGTTAGTGTGATCCACATGCACTTATGGTTATTTCTAATTGGTTTTTTGAGTACTTCCTTTTTTTTAAGAGAGAGAGAGAGAGAGAGAGAGAGAATGAGAGAATTTTTTAATATTTATTTTTTAGTTTTTGGCGAACACAACATCTTTATTTGTATGTGGTCCTGAGGATCGAACCCAGAGCTGCGCGCATGCCAGGCGAGCGCGCTACTGCTTGAGCCACATCCCCGCCCCTTGAGTACTTCCTAAAAGAGAATTCATAAATATATACTGTACATAGAAGAACAGTGAAGGCTGCCCTTTGTGCCCTGTCCGTTAAGGAGATAGTCAAAGATGAATATTATCCCTGAAAGTAGATAAATCAAGAGAAACCTAAGGATATGGGGTAGGAATTAGCTGTTCTGTTCTAGCATGGAATCTCACTGCATGTTTTCCCTTTAGGAACCGCCCCCCCCCCAAAAAAAAAAAAAAGAAAAAGAAACAGAATAAAGAAGAAAAAGCAATTAATAAACATTAGGGGAATACATATCAGATCCATAATGATATGCTACTTCATACCCACCAGAATGGCCCCAGTTAAAAAGACATATAGTAACAAGTGTTGATGAGGATATGGGGGAAATTGGAATCCACATGTGCAACTGGTGGGCAGGCTGCAGCTACTTTAGAAAATGCCCTGGCTGTTCCTCAAAAGGCTTAAAAGAAACGTAGATGACCTGCCAGTTCCACTCCTAACTATATGCTTAAGAGAATTAGTAACATGTCCAACCAAAAACTCATATATGAAAGTTCAAGGCAGTATATTTCATAATAGCTAAGAAATGGTAACAACCTAAATAGCCATTAAACAAAATGTAGTATATCCATAAAATGGAACATAGTTCAACAATAACAACAAAATTAAACAACAGTAAAAATGAAATGAAGAACTAATATACTCTCCAACATGGATGGACCTCAAAAACATTATCAAAAATGACAGCCCAGGGGAAGGGAGGGGGCATGGGGTTATTAATGATGGTGGAATGTGATGATCATTATTATCCAAAGTACATGTATGAAGACATGAATTGGTGTGACTATACTTTGTATACAACCAGAGATATGAAAAATTGTGCTCTATATGTGTAATAAGAATTGTAATGCATTCCACTGTCATCTATAAATTAAAAAAATGACAACCCAGATGCAAAAGACCACACATTGTATAATCCCTTTTATTTTACTTTTTAGGTCCCTGGTTTGATATGTATTTAACTGCTCGAGACTCAGTTGTTCTGAACTTTAATCCATTTATGGCATTCAATCCTGATCCAAAATCTGAGTATAATGACCAGCTCACCCGGGCGACCAACATGACTGTTTCTGCCATCCGGTTTCTGAAGACACTCCGGGCTGGCCTTTTGGAGCCAGAAGTATTCCACTTGAACCCTGCCAAAAGTGACACGAATACCTTTAAGAGACTCATACGCTTTGTGCCTTCCTCTCTGTCTTGGTATGGAGCCTACTTGGTCAATGCATATCCCTTGGATATGTCTCAGTATTTTCGGCTTTTCAATTCAACTCGTTTACCCAAACCCAGGCGGGATGAACTCTTTACTGATGACAAGGCCCAACACCTCCTGGTCCTAAGAAAAGGACATTTCTATGTCTTTGATGTCCTGGATCAAGATGGGCACATCGTAAGCCCCTCAGAAATCCAGGCACATCTGAAGTACATTCTCGAAGACAATAGCCCTGTGCCTGAGTTTCCTCTGACATATCTGACCAGTGAGAACCGAGATGTCTGGGCAGAGCTCAGGCAGAAGCTGATACATGGGGGCAATGAGGAGACCCTGAGGAAAGTGGACTCCGCTGCCTTCTGCCTCTGCTTAGATGACTTCCCCATTAAGGACCTTGTCCATTTGTCCCACACCATGCTACATGGTGATGGTACAAATCGCTGGTTTGATAAATCCTTTAATCTCATTGTGGCCAAGGATGGCACTGCCGCTGTCCACTTTGAGCATGCTTGGGGTGACGGGGTTGCAGTACTCAGGTTTTTCAATGAAGTGTTTAAAGATAGCACTAACGCTCCTGCCATCACTCCCCAGAGCCAGCCAGCCAATACAGACTCTTCCATCACTGTGCAAAAACTCAGCTTCAAATTGAATGATGCCTTAAAGGCTGGAATCACTGCTGCAAAGGAAAAGTTTGATGCTACCACGAAAACCCTCACCATTGACTGTATGCAGTTTCAGAGAGGAGGCAAAGAATTCTTGAAGAAGCAGAAGTTGAGCCCTGACGCAGTGGCACAGCTGGCCTTCCAGATGGCCTTCCTGCGGCAGTATGGGCAGACAGTGGCCACCTACGAGTCCTGCAGCACTGCAGCATTCAAACATGGCCGCACTGAGACCATCCGCCCAGCCTCCATCTTCACAAAGAGGTGCTCTGAGGCCTTCGTCAGGGAGCCCTCTAAGCACAGTGCTGGCGAGCTTCAGCAGCTGATGGCCGAGTGCTCCAAGTACCATGGCCAGCTGACCAAAGAAGCAGCAATGGGTGAGGCAGGGGTGGGGAGCATGCCCTCTGTGCCTGGGTTAGACTCAGTAACATCCCCCCACATCTGATGTCTACCTTGTCCCTAGATTTAATTCACCTGCTTACTCCCAAAATGATGATTTTTTCCCCCTTATCCTAGTAGTCTGAAGAGCTAGCCCAGCCACTAGGGATCAGAATGTTCTCATGTGCTAAGTAGGGATGGGGAAATGCATCTAACTTTCTTCTCATTTAAAAGTCATCTTCAGTTGTGAGTCATGATTCTCCTTTTTCTATTGCTTGTTAGTTATCAGACTTCCTTTCAACAATTGAGAATTTCTAAGCCCACAGCTCCCCATCACTTTACCTCAGATGTAGCGTGTTGGCTCCTTGGAAATAGATCATCTCAGAAGTGCTTTCCAAATTGAAGTGTCATCTTTTCATCTCTTTGTGATAAAATTGAAAACCTGGAAAGGATGTGGAGGATATCCAATCTTTTCACATAGCTTCAAAGTCCTAGAACTGAAAGGGTCCTCCAAGACCTAGTTTTTTTCCTTCTCCATTTTATAGGCAGGAAACTGAGGCCACTGGCCTAGTGTTACACAGAAAATATGTTGTAAGGCTGAAATTAGAACCTTGGCAAAAAATCCTTTTTTTTTTTTTTTCTAGTGACTTAATCTTGTCTTTTACATGTGAATTGGACTTTGAGTTTTGTCTTATTTTTGGTTTATGTGTGTGATGGAGGAGGGGCGGTTGCTGGGAATTGAACCCAGGGCCTTGTGTATGCTAACACATACTTTACCACTGAGCTGCGTACACCTCTAGCCCCATATCTTAAGTTTTTGAGTCTATGGCTTTCTTCACGTAGTGTCTTGACTGACTAAATTGATTCACAATTTTTAAAACCATGCTTTCATTCTAGGCTCATTTTTAGCTCAATTATTGACAGCTGAAAATCTGTTTTAAAATAATTTAAGGTAGGTGCAGTGGCACACACCTATAATTCCATTGACTTGGGAGGCTGAGGCAGGAGGATTGTAAGTCAAGGCCAGCCTCAGCAACTTAGTGAGGTCCTAAGCAACTTAGAGATTTGTTACCCAAATAAAAAAAAATTTAAATGCCTGGAGATGTGGCTCAGTGGTTAAACACTTCTGGGTTCAATTCCTGGTTTAAAAAATTTTTTTTAAAAATATTCTGGAATGGGCTTCTGCAAAGTTTAGTGAGCTGGAGATATACATATAGAGGTAGAGAGACCCTTCTTCTACTTTACAGACTGCTCTTAAGGGGGATTCCTGTCATGGCTGGGAGGTTTGCCTAAGATCCTTTCTAGTTCTGAGACTCTGAGACTCCTGTTTTTCCATTTTGTCTCTGACAGGCCAGGGCTTTGACAGACACTTGTTTGCTTTGCGGCACCTAGTGGCAGCCCAAGGAATTGTCCTGCCGGAGCTCTACCTGGACCCTGCATATGAACGGATAAACCACAACATCCTGTCCACCAGCACGCTGAGCAGCCCAGCAGTGAACCTTGGTGGCTTTGCCCCTGTTGTCCCTGATGGCTTTGGCATTGGTTATGCTGTTCATGATGACTGGATAGGCTGCAATGTCTCCTCCTACCCAGGACGCAATGCCCGGGAGTTTCTTCACTGTGTTGAGAAATCCTTAGAAGATATATTTGATGCCTTAGAAGGCAAATCCATCAAAGCTTAGCTTCCAGGTAGATGGAAAGTCCTCCATTACTTCCTCATGAAAATGGAGGGCCGTGTAGCCAATAAGTGCTATCCTGTGCCTAATGAAACTAGTCATGGGCCCAAGCAGCCAGTGCTGCAAGCTTGAGCTCAAAGATCATTTTTTTAAAGCTAAATGTGTTATTTCTGAATGGGAAATAACAGTTTCAAGACCCTCTGATCAAGATATTGGGTTTAAAGAACTAACTCAGGTCTATTTATTGTTTAAACAGAAATAAAATGTAATTGTGTAATTGTTGCTTAAAGATGCTTCCTCTTATTATTAGTAGTGTTTTTTTGGGGTTTTTTTTTTTTTGGTTTTGTTTTGTGGTGCTGGGAATTGAATCCAGGGACTTGTGCATGCAAGGCAAGCATTCTACCAATTGAGCTATATCCCCATTTTTGTTTTTTTAATCCCTACTTCCCACAAAGAACTTCCCAATAGTAAGTTCAGGAAGCAGTAAGTTCCCATTGATTCCCGGCTCCTCAGGTGCTATGGGAAACACTGTTTCATCCTCTATAAACTTGCCCCTTTCTCTTGGGCAAAAGTACTCTTTATTTTTCTAAGGAGTGAACTGCTCTGCTTGATTCTGGCAGGCCTGCTTCAATAAAGGATCTAACCACGGATTTAAGGACTGCTATTTGACTAGTTTGGGGGACCAAATGAGGATTTATAATGGGCATGTGTTTATTTTAATCAGTTGAAGTGTGAGTGAGAATTGTGGCCTCAGGTAGCAAACATAAGTCTGCATTTTACAGTAGAGAACATTTCCTTTAAGTGGAATGAGTATAGATTTTTTTTCCTCTCCCATTACTTGTTAGAATGCTACTGGAACTTGAACAGAAGGGCATTTTTATCAAATTTTTTGAAAAGGAAGTAATTTGTGTTAATCTTACTGCATTCGTAATGGCTTCTCAGTGAGTTACAGATACAGCCTTTCTATCCTCCTTATTTGCTTCCCTTTAACACATGTCCTACAGAGAAGCCCAGTGGGTCCCATGTCTTCAGCCTGCCTTGCCTAGGTTTTTACTGTTCCTTCTTTATGAAAAATTCTATCCTTGGTCAAAACACATAAGGTAGAAATTTCATTCTGGACACACTTAGCTCCCAGGAACAGCACAATATACGTTAACCACAACAATGGATTTAGATTTGCATCACTCAGAGGGCGAGGAGCCCTAACTACTACTTCCTAGACACCAAAAGGCCCTTTGGAGTCAAAAGGAGCCTGCCTAGGCTGTGGAATTGCCTGGCAGGAGCTGGGACCTCACCCGCTCCAGAAGGGAGGAGTCTACCTTGGCATGGCGGGCAGTCTTGACCGTGTGCTTGGTGAGCAGGAAGGCATACTCCTCCGCAGTATGACTGCAGGTACTGAGTCAGATGTTCTGCCCAATATATGCTTCTGGCACCTTCAGCAGGCTGAGCACCACAGGACCCAGGTTATTCACAGGGTTTACAAGGAGCCAGATGCTGAACCTTCAGAGATTCTACTCCTACATATTGCAGTACCAAAACACACAAGATCATTAATCCTTGGAATACTTCTTTGAATACAGATTGAGGTAGGGTTTCAACCTTATTTTATTGTACAAAATCTCTAACAGCTGCCTCAGTACCATTTATTGATGAGTTAATAATTAACCTCACGAACTGCAACAGTATTCCTTAATCTTCATATGTCAGTAGGTCTGTTAATCTGCTGTTCCACTGTCTGTTTGTGTATTAGTGCCAATACCATAAATGGTTTAAATTGCCATTGCTTTATAAATATATTGTGATACTTGCTAGGGGAGGTCTCCCGCCTGTCATACAGATTTCAAATCAATTTAAGTTCTAGTAAAAATTTGAGATTTTCTTTTATTTATTCATTTTTTAATGTGGTACTGAAGATTGAACCCAGTGCCTCACATATGCTAGGCAAGCCCTGTACCACTGAGCTACATACAACCCCACCCAAAATCTGAGATTTCAATTAGAATTTATAAACATTTATTGAAAATGAGCATCTTTATCATGTACTTTTTAAAAACTATTTTTCATTGTCAATATAGCTTTTACTTATATTATTTTATATGCAGTACTGAGGATTAAACCCAGGGCCTCGCACATGCCAATAGGCAAGTGCTCTACCAGTGAGCTTTTGAGTTGTAGATGGACACAATGCCTTTATTTATTTATTTTTTGTATGTGGTGCCAGGGATAGAACCCAGTGCCTCATGAATGCTAGGCAAGCGCTCTACCACTGAGCCACAACCCTGGCCCTGGGAGAAGTATCTTTTCTTGAATTATATCTTGCTTGTTAGTAGCATATTGAAATAAGATTTCTCACCTTGACCTTAAGTCCAACATGGTAATTTTTTTTTCTGGAGTTACTAAGTGGAAAATCATAATTAATGAAATACTGAGTTGACTCTTTCCTTTCTCTTTACTTTTTTTTAGTACTGGGAATTGAACCCAGGGGTACTAATCATTGAGCCATATCCTCAGCCTGCTTTTTTGTTTGTTTGTTTTTTGAGACAGGGTCTTGATTAGTTGCTTAGAGCCTCACTAAATTGCCAAGGATGGCTGGAACTTATGATCCTCCTGCTTGAGCCTCCCAGGTTGCTGGGATTACAAGTGTGTGCCACCGTGCTCAGTCTTTACTTTTCAAATTATCTTATTGTGGGATTTCCAGCACAATAAACAGATGTAGTGATTGGGGGCATCCTCATCTCACCCTGACGAAGTGTAATACTTCAAACATTTCATCATTTATAAAACATGGCACTTGCTCTAGGTTTTTTGTTAATACCCTTTGTGAGGTGAGAGTAGCTCTCTTTTATTCCTAGTTTGCTAAGAGCTTTTTTTAAAAAAAAATTTTTTGTAGTTGTAGATGGATGAAGTGCTTTTGTTTATTTTTATGTGGTTCTGAGGATTGAAACCAGTGCCTCATGCATGCCAGGAAAGTACTCTGACACTAAGCTACAGCCCCAGCCCAAGAGCTTTTTTGTTTGTTGTTAAATGGGTATTAAACATCTTTTCTGCACCTATTGACAATCTATTTCATCTTTCCTTTAATCTGTTAAGAGTATTTGGGTCTCCCTACCTCCTGAAAGATGGTCGAGTAATTTAAAATATAAATAAAACCTTGAGGTTCTTTTAGTGTTTGGCTTTTGAACTTACATACTGAAGGGTATGTAAGAGACTAAAAAAGACTAAAAACAAGAAAGGTTGGTTCCCCAGCCCAATGTGTCCTTGCTTCCAGATGAGACAGTAGACTGGACCCAGTGGGAGGGGGCTGGCAGAGGGAGGCCTGAAGTCTTGCTGTCAGGTACAGAAGAGCCCAGGGAACAGGGAACATAGGGAACCAATGTTGAAAAGTAACAAGCTAGGCCCCTCCTCACTACCCCTAGACATGGCTAACTTTCCCTGAAAACAAGAGAATCCTCTTTCTAGAGCCTTACAACCAGCCTGGGTGTTAGTAGACCCTTTCCTACTCTCAGGAAGTGAGAAAGAGACACTAATTTGTTTTTCTAAAGAATTCTAAGCTCCAGAAGAACACTGAAAAAATAGGTCTCCAGCAACAGGTATTCCCAATGGTGGGTTTGGACGGGAAGAATAAGCATCGGCATGGCCTACCAGTGCACTTATCAATCCTGTCAACTGTGTGGACATTTGGCCCAGGAACCAGGCCCAAGAGGCACAGCAGGTTCTGACTCCTGTCTTTACAATTCCAAAGGATTTCCTGGGGGCAGACACATAAATATGGTGCAAGAGTACAAACAGAGACCAGCAGGAATTGTTTCAGGGAGCAGAGGCTGACTTAGAACAAGGAAGAACTTTCACACCTCTTCTGATGGGCTGGGAGTGCCCCATCACAGCAAGTGAGCTGAGACCTGATGACCATCAGTCAGGAATTCTTTTGCCAGAAGTGGGCTGGGCTGGAATGCCAAGTGACTCCAGCTAACAGAGATGCCTGGGTTTATCCGAGAGCCAAGCTGGTCAATGCAGGGCTTTGACACAGAACTGCTAAGCCTGTGGCACCATTCCATAGGTTTCCCTGCCCTCTGTGCCACTGGCCTTGAGACCTTTGATCCTCTGGATTGATCTGCCCACTTTCTAAGAGCTGGAGAGTCCCTGGAAACTATGTATTCCTGCATATTTGGCAATTTGGAGGAAGTGCAGGGATTTAAACTGTAGAAAGTTGCCAGAAAGCAGTCAGAGACCTTCAGTGTGAATTCTTCTTTGTGGAGGGAATAGTGGCTGCTCCCTGACTCTATCCTCACACACTGATGTGATACAAACAGGAGTTTTATTGATGCGGCTTGGGAACCATGACAAACCCCAGCATGCAGGTTATGAGGGCTCTCTACAGCAACTAGGAGATGAGGGATGAAGGAGTCAGTCTCTCTGAGTGCTGCTGCTTGGGGCACTTTGTTTCCTCTTATTCTTAAGACCAAGTGTGTAGGAAGGGAGTTCAGCACTTCACAAACTGGTGAGTGACCTCGTAGATTCCCACAGACTCCTGAGCCTTCTCATCATAGTCAGTCCAATCCTATAAAATAAGAGAACAGAGTTAGTCAGTGTGGAGAGTGGAGAATGGGGACTTATGAGGACCCACTCAGGCTCAGACTCAGATATTCATGAACATGTGTGACCCTGAACAGAGATAGATAGCTCAGGACTAAACTATAGCTCCTCCAGCTTTGTGATTATGGGTAAGTCACTTAACTTCTCTGCATCTCAGTCCTCTTCTCTTAAAAAAAGAGAGAGAGAGATGCCAATAGACTTCAGATTGAATTTTCAAAGAATCATATCAGGAAATATATGTTAAAGTACTTAGCACAATGGCTGGCACAAAGAGGAGCTAGAAAATGCCAGCTATTGTTGTTAAAGGTGCTATGCACATGGAATGAAGTGGTTTTTTTTTTTGTTGTTGTTGTTGTAGTTTCTCTTGATTTGGGTCAGGGTCTCACTAAGTTGCCCATGCTGGCCTTGAAACTCCTGGGCTCATGTGAGCCTCCTGCCTCAGCCTCTGTGGAGGGTCAAATACATGAAATACATGCCACCATATCCAGTGTGAATGAAGATCTTGTCCTTCCTTCCTTTAAGGCCTGAGCACAATTTTATCTGCAGCATACTATGTCCAGCAATGCAGATGATTACTTGTTAGGCTCTATAAGTCACTACAAACACTAAATTAATGAATACTAAACTACTGTTTCCAGTGGAAATACAGGGTTAAGGTCCTGTGAACATCTGGTCACATTTTCATCAACTGATCAATAACTTTGTTTTACCTGTGTTTATTTCTATTTAAAGACATGTTTTTAAAAATTTATTGTTGATTCATTAACATGAAGTTCAGAGCCAACAACACTGTAACCCATGCCTTGACAAACTTGATCCAATTTCTCCACGAAGCACATCTCAGCTTTCTTGCATGTAGAAACTAGACAGCGTGATAGCAGTACACTTGGGACTATTTCAACAGCAAAATCAACGTTGCATGCGACTAAAACACTCAGGGGTTACTCCAGGGGAACTGGGCTAACTGGGCTGCGCAAAATAACCACACAAGAGACAGAAATACATTTTTCTTTGGGGTTGCTGTGATGGCTCCTCTGACCTTAAGGGTCTGCAGAGAGAGAGAGAGACAGAGAAAGAGAGAGAGAAAATGCAAGCGTGCCCACACATGCTGACCCATTTTATTGAGGAGAAGCTATTCAAATGAGGCAAGGGGTCAGGTTTCAGGGGGCTGAGTCTAAGTTCATGATATCTGCTGTCAGCAGGTTGACTGACATCTAGGTAGGCCACACCCAAGGGCAGAGTAAGAGAAGGGGTCACACAAAGGGGTGTTTCCATGGAACATTCTATCCCAAACAGGGCAAAGAGATAATATCACAAAGGAACAGGTGAGCATAGCTCCACCCATGGGGTTGTAGGAAGGCACACGCCCATGCACAAAGACACTGTCCCTTGAACCCAAGAAGGGCAGGGCAGTCTGGCATGGCTGCTGCCAGAGCCTCAATCACTCAGCCGGGGAGTGACTCAGTCACGTGCAAGGTTGGTCTCCTACAACCAACAAAAAGCACAAAATGCAGAACCAACTTTCCATTGATAAGCCTTGTTCACAAAAAGGAAAATTCTCATCAGGTGCCACATAGCACCTTGCTAGGTCTCAAGGCCACATACCTTCTCTTGCAGATTAATGTCACTGAAGATTGTCCCAGACTCCACACCCTCAGCAGCAAACCCATCCTGCAGGGGACAGGAAAGCAACAGTTAAAATTAGTCTGGAAGAAAAAAAGGCACTGAACAAGCCTGTGAAGACTGGCCAGGGAGCTGGCTTTTCTAGCAAAAACTTTTGGATGGAGAACAGAGATGGAACTATTCTTGAATAGCTGCTGTTTCTAAGACCTGGCAGTTCCTTTAGGATTAAGTCTGTTTTTTTGCAAATTACAGCCTTGGGCTGGGGGACATAGTTCAGTTGGTAGAGTGTTTGCCTTACATTAATAAGGCTCGGGTTTGATCTTCAGCACCACCACCACCAAAAAAAAAAAAAGCCCTGGACCAGAAGGCAAGAGAAGTGGGGTGAAACTCTTCTACTACCCCGATTTGCTGAGCAGCCCAGGGCATGTCACCCCTCTTTCTGGATGTTAGTTTTCTTATTTATGAATGGGAATGACAATATTATTTCTTCTGCCTTATGTCACAGATTTGTTGTGAGGTAAAAATGCTGTATAAATAAATAGAGATGAACACTGGCTCTGGAGTCAGATGGACCTGGGTTCAAATAACAGCTCCAGTGCTTACTAACTGTGTGACCCTGGGCAAGCTGCAAAATCTCTTAGGATCTTTCCTACTCTGAAAAATAGGATAAATCATTTCATAGGGTTACTGTGATGACTATATTAAGTAACATGTAAAAGTGATGGGCCTGGTGCCCAGCATATAGAAGACTTAATAAGTGACAATTAGAGTCTTAGTACAGACTTTCTAGTCCACAGCCTCTGTAGGAAGCTAAGTTCTGCTGTCACTTCTTACATCCCCTTCCCAAAGATACACACGTACCTGGGGCTGGAAATCAACTGGTTCAAGGCCCCGGCACTCAAACTCTACTATCGTCTTGAACTTCTCATTGTCTTCAGCCTAGAAAGAAGTGTGTTGAGGAGGTAGCTCATCTTGGCCCTAAAGATGACCCCATGGCCCCTGCCCTTCCTGCCATGTGGGCCCTTACTGCCCTATGAGCCTAGAATGGGACCTGGAACAACTCATTTCCTTCTTAAAGAACCCTGCCTTGAGCACTGCTCCCCATGGAAACTTCTGTGGACATGGAGGCAGTAAAGAATATGGAGTCTGTGGTTCCTCTCTGGATGTGAGGCTGAGCTCTGCATCTCTTCCTCTCTGGGCATAATATTCATAAACTATCAAACGGAGCTGAGGAAACCTTTACAGGTTGATAATGAGAATTTTAAATATGTATAAAGTGCCTAGCATAGGACCTAACACTATGCTCAAAAAGTGGTAGATATGGGCTGGGGTTGTGGCTCAGTGGCAGAGTGCCTGCCTGGCATGTGTGAGGCACTGGGTCAATTCTCAGTACTACATAAAAATAAATAAATTAAATAAAGGCCTGTTGACAATTAAAAACAAGTATTTAAAAAAAAGTGGTAGATAAAATTACCAATATTACAAATATGAACAAGAACATTAAGCTTCCAAGTCTCCAAATCATGCAAATGGTCCCAGTACTCTTAGCCATAACCTTTTGCTAACCATCCATAACACTGCAAGGGCAGATGTCTGCCTTAAAATCTTTGAAATGGGATGGGCATACCTGTTTAAGGATGGGAAGCCAGGAAATTCATGCCTATTTGACCCAGAGGGCTCAGAGCTAAGTGCCATGCCACATATTCACTCTCATCCTGTCATTTACTGTAAAACCATTTCCTGCACTCCAACCATATGTGTAGCATTGGTGAGGTAATTCTCCATTGAGCCTTGTTTTGTTGTTTGCTGGTCTATATCTTCTGCACATTATGATTTACTTGGGAGTAAGTCCTCATTTAATTGCTCTCTTTATGTTTGGGACAATGTGAAAATTGGTCATAATTCAAATATTTTAAATAAATACCAAATAAGAAAAGGATGAATACAAATAACTACCTTTTAAAAACAGACCCAAGGCGTACCCCAACTCTCTTACTTTTGGGCTAACTTGTTATGTAGTAAGGCATAACCATCTGGTAATAATATTGGCACTCTCCAGCATGGGTTGCACCAAAGGACTGCCCCACTCATAGTTTCAGAGAAGGCTTGCTAGTCCTCTAAGATGCAGACAAGGCATATACTCTCAACCATGGAAACTGAGCAGCTAGCTTGGGTTAGAAGACCCTGGAGCTCCAACAGCACAGCACTTTTACAAAGGCACTGCAATGGCCTGTTTTGACTCTTTCCCCTAGCAAACACCCAGTATATGGTGAATGAATGAGGGACTGAGTGAATGAGCACCTGAGTGAAATTACAGAAAGAAAAAAGTACATGAGTAAAAGCCCTACGGAAGGTTGTTTTGCTATAGCAATAAGTCTATAACCCAGCCCCTCCTAGCCCCCAGTTTAGATTTAAACCCACCACATCTCCCACTATAGCAGCAAACTTACATTGTAAGATTGGATGGTGCTACTCAAAATATCTGAAACATAAAAAAAAAAAAAAAAAAAAAGACAAAGTTGACTTGAATCCATACTGTGGCCCCCCTAGGTGCCCAAATGTGGCCCTGGGAAAGAGACAGATGCAGAGGCTTTAGCATCTGAAGACTGAGTTGTCCACAGTTACATGAGCCTGTTTTCAGTCAGCTATCAGGAAGCTGTGGGCCAATCTGACCTACCTATTGAGTTTTCCCGTGCACACAGCTTGCACTTCTGGACCATGGAGACACTGTGACGGCCTCCCTTCAGTTCCACACTATCCTGGGGAGAAGCAGAACCTCTAATCACATATCAATTAAATGCAAGGGTCCTGGGGATATCCTGTCCCACCACTTATTATCCAGTTGAAGAGAACAAGACCAAGAAAGGCAAATGACTCCTGGGGACTGGGGAATATAGCTCTCAGTGGTACAGCATATGTTTAGTATGTGCAAATCTTGGGGTTCAGGCCTCAGCACCAATTAAAAAAAAAAGAATCTTGGGAAGGCTTGACACTGAGGAAAGGGTTTCCCCTTGATTGTGAATTCTGTTTCACATCCCAAAGATGATTATTGTTTCCAGTACTGATTACACTGATGCCTACCCTCCAAACCACAAACAGCAGTGTCCAAAGGATTAGAGAAATGACGGCCAGTTTCTCTGAATCCCTGCTCAGATGTATGTGTATGTTGGGGGAGGTGGGTAGTGGTGGGGAACGTTACCATCAGCCGGAGGTACTGCCATTTCTCTGAAATCTCTCCACAGTTGCCACATTTCATCTTGGAAGAAGAAAAGCATATTAGTAAAGCAACTGGCTAAGTTGGGCAGACACTGAGGTAAGGACAGTGTGAGTAAGCAGGCTCATAACCTACCTTCTTGGTGGAACTCTCACTTCAGTCCTTAAAACCAGCCCAATCAAGGACATAACCAGACTTATCTCTAGGCAAAGAACAAGTTGTTTCTCATGTTGGTGTACCCATTCTCACCTAGGAAGTGCCCAGGATTGCTGGAGATTCAAGGCTCTTTTCAGTCCAGAAACGGCCTTAACAGGCCCCAGCAACTCTGTGGTTAGGTGTTCCCATGTGTTCCCAGAGGCCCTGTCAGTGCCTGGTTTCAGTATTTATTCATCATTGTGCTGTTACTCTTTATGTCTCCCTCTGTGCTTCTTGAAGCCAAAGAATACTGATTCTCCAAATAAAAGCCTAGAACTCAGGCTTCAGAATATTTGGAAATAAAAGTGCTCAAAAGTGGTTTCCGGAAGGACAGGACTTTAGGCAGTTTTGGAAGGATGCCAGGATTCAGATTAAGAGAACAGGGCAGGGGTTCTGCAGTCTGCGACAAGCAAGGGCCTCAAACTCTTCAGATAAGAAGAGGACCTCTGCGTACCATGCCACTGGGGGTACCAGGTTTACCAGTAAGGGTGGTTCATGCACAAATTTTAACTATTTCACAATAAATAAGGCCAGATCAACAAATAAAACATAAGGCAAATTTATCATTTTTTTAAGCACTCTACTGACTAAGCTGTATTCTCAGCCCTTTTTTTAAAAATATTTTTTTATTTACATTTTAGTTTTCGGGGGACACAACATCTTTGTTTGTTTGTGGTGCTGAGGATCCAACGCGGGCCGCACCCATGCCAGGGGAGCGCGCTACCGCTTGAGCCACATCCCCAGCCCCAAAATTATCATCTTAATAAATAATCAACAGATTCATTCACTAGCATTTCCTTTAGTGTCGGTTTAGAGACAACATATTTAACAAAGGAAAAATTTATAGCCGAGTGCAGTGGGGCAGGCCTGTAATCCCAGCAGCTTGGGAGGCGGAGACAGGAGATCGCTACCAACTCAGTGAAACCCTGTCTTTAATAAAATACAAAATTGGGCTGGGGATGTGGTTCAGTGCCCCTGAGTTTAACCCCTGGTCCCCCTCCAAAAAAAAACTATAAAAAAAGAGTTGTAAGACCGTCGAAAAATGACCAAACCAAAAATTCTGGCCTGAAAAACGCGAACATTTACTATGTCTAGTTAAATAATTCTCAAGCTGCTGGAGAGAACGCTCCAGTTCCAAATCAAGATCAGGCGGGGACGACTCCTGGCGATGTCCGGCCCGCGGCTCTCGGGTAGCCCCCTAAACCCACCGCCTCCCGAAGCTCCTCCCTTCTCACGTCTCAGGGCCCGCCCCCCACGCACCTTCAGGTACCACCGGAAGTCCTCGCCCACTGGACGGAGGTTCGTGACGTTCTCCAGCGTCGCTTTGAGCTGCAGCGCGATTTTCTAAGGGGAGGGAGGACCAGACCGACAGTGTCGGCCGCGCTTGCGCAATCCTCGCCGGCCCTCCCGGCTCGCGCATTACCTCCTGTCCGCTTAGCGCGAGCCTATTCCCTTCATTCCCGTCTGGCGCGAGATATTGCTTTCCAAGGCCTCGCCACCGCCCCGCCACCACTCCCACCCCGGTACCCCGGCACCCAGCGGCGGGGAGCCTTCCCTCACCCCCATGGTGGCCCGGCTCAGCGCGGCGCCGGCTGCGACGGCTACTTTCTGGCAGGTCGTAAAAGAGGAGGAGGCACTTGCGCACTCTCAGTGCGGGCAGTTAGGTGGCACGTGGTGGGCAGCAGGGCAGGCGGGGCACTTATTCTGCTGTCACCTTACCTGCCCCTCGGGGCTTTTCCTGTTAGGGAAACTGGAGACGGTGGAGGTCATTGAGTGTGAGATATCTGTTGCTCAGACGCGCTGAAAGGTGCCCCCAGGAATGGGTCATGCCGCAGATATTTATTGAAATCCAATTTTGTACCAGCACTAAGTGGACAGTTACCGCCCCTCACTTCTCTCCTGCCTCTTCATTATTTTTTCTTCCCTGGGCTTCTCAGATCACTTTGGCTCCTCCTGCTCAGGGGTGAGAAGTCCGGACCATCTTGGGGACAAAGGGCATGTCTTAACTGGGGTCTTAACTCATAACCTAACAGTCATTTAAAAGATGATATGTGCTTTTTCTACTTTTCCACCTCAATTCAAAGTTTGCCATATACTAAAAGCTTGATATGTGCCGTACTCTCAATTTTATGGTTTTCAAAGTGTAGGTGCATTATTAAAGCCAGTAAGTCTCCAATGGTAAACAGTCTAAAGGATAAAAACTATTGAGACTTCAAAATGGCAAAGTCCCATGGTCTTTAACTTGTTTGCATGATTTGTGTTTTAACATTTCCCATCTATGTGTTCTTTTAACAAGTATAATAACTCATCTTTATCACAGGGTAAAGATGTTTACACAGGATGTAACATGATAGGACAAATGTAATGTTAAAACTCACCTCCCTGAAGTGCCCTCACAGGAAAAGAAAAATAACTTCGAAATGCACCTAAAGCCATTTAACATTCCTAAACTCGTCCACACCTGCAAGTAGTCCTTTCACAAGAATAAAACTAGACCTCTGCTGTGTCTGGGAGCCAGGCCCACACTCTCCTGGTTTTGTCTCCCTTTTGAATTCCCAATTAAAGGCCTTGCTCTTCTGACTTGATTTCTTCTAATGAAATTGAGTCAAAAGTTCCCATTCGCTGGCATCAGGGGCAGCCTCACAGATTTGGAAATTATGCCTTCTCCAAACTGCCCCTTTATTTGTCCATGAGACTTGGTCTGTAGGCTCCTCTCTGGGTTTTCTTGTATTCATGCCCCTTCTTTCTCTCTGAGATCCCTAAGACTGGATACCCACTTTCTGCTGGCATTTCTGTGGGCCCCCACCTGTCATATCCTATGGTATCCTCACTGGTTGGTACCATACAGGAGCTGTGGGCGTCTACATCAGAAGATTCAGCCCATTTGAAACTTTTTAACTTTGGAGGTCCTCAGTGTCATTTAAAAATTGGAGTGACTTTTCCAGATGTCTACTATACCACCAGATTACCTTATAGCCCCCAAGTTCCCTTTACAGAAGGAGGTATTTTGGAGTTAGGGACCCTCATTTGGTGGATCCCAGGGATGTAGTTAACTTGTTCTATAGTCTTTGAAGGAGGCAAAGTGTGGTGGAAATGAAACAGTGAATTTGCTGCCTTCCCACCCCATTAAGAACCATCACCACATGCCGAGACTGGCCCTCCATCCTGACGGGCCAAGAAAGCTGAGTAGAGACTACCTCCCTCCTCAGGCCTGCCTTTTGTCTCACTTAGCTGCATTTCCTGCCTCACTTAGCTCATCTTCCTTGAAAGGCTCTGCTTAAAAAAAAAAAAAAAAAGGATGGGGATGTGACTCAGTGGTAGATTGCTTGCCTAGCATGTGCAAGGCCTGGGTTTGATCCCCAGTACCTCAAAAATAAATAAAAATAAATAAGCCAGGCATGGTGGTGCACACCTGTAATTCTAGCGACTAAGGAGGCTGAGACAAAAAGACCCAAGTTCAGGGGCAGCCTCAGCAATTTAGCAAGACTCAGTCTGGGGTGGGGATGGGAGGACTGGGACTGAGTATGTTGCTTGGTGGAAAATAAATAAAGCTCTGCTCAGCTTGGAGATTTTGAAGGTGGAAGTGATACTGGTCTTGGATATCGGGATTGGGTCCTCATTCCCCGTTGTTGAAGATTTAAACACTAGAGAAACACCGAAGCAAGCATTGAAAGCAAATTTTTTTTGAGAGCAGCCAGAGACAGTTGGTAGGCTCCTCTGGAGAGGAATCAGGGACTCAGCTGGTGCCTGTGGGAAGGGGCGTGTCTTGCCTCTTTAGAGATCTCAGGTTTCTTTTCCTCTCACCCCCCTTGCCTACCAGTCTTGACTATAGGACCAAAAGGCAGGAAAAGAGCTGCCCAGGGGTACTCCTTAGCAACTCCCTGTGTTGGGAAGAGTGATTCCCCAGACCTGTCCATAACCTTGGGGCAGGGGGTGCTCTGGAGGTGTTAGTGTTTCATTTCTTTTTCTTTGAATTAGTCCCCATGTTCTGATCATTCATTATCTATACTATCTGTCCTTTGCCAGTAACTTTTGAAACAATGTTTCTTCTATCTTTCAAAGCTGTTTTGGAATAAACCCTATTTTCCTACCAATTTGACTCCTAACATTAGAATTGCATGTGTTGTAACCTAGCCTCTTCATCCCAGGATAGATGATGCCACCTAGTTAAAAAAAAAAAAAAAAAAAAGCACAGTCCTGAATTAGGTTCCTTGGGACTGTTAGGGGCAGAGAGATGAGGATGGTGGTGAAATCGGTTTTATTGGTGATCAGGACCAAGTTCATGTTCCACAGAGTTGAAGAATGAACACCACGAGTAGACGGATAGACAAGGCAAAGAAGCATAGAAAGATTTATTTATTTAAGAAAGTGATAGAGGACAGATTTCTCCCAAGAGGAGGAAGGTTCCTTCCAGCTGAAATGCCCATGGCGGGTTGGGGAGGTGACTTGCCTTTTTTATATAGCAAGAACTTCTTTCATTATTCATTGTATTTCCTCTTTCCTGTATATACACACCTAAGAGCACAAACACAAGTTGTTGTTGTTTTTTAAATAACTTAAGCAACTCTTTGTTCTTTCCTTGAAAAACATTCATCACCCTCTCAACCCTCATTATTTTTACCCATATTGACTGCTTGACTTCATGACAGTTATTAGCTAATTTTCTCATTACCAGACCCTTGTCACTCTTACCTATAGTGGGAAAATGAGAATACAAGAATAATTCTATAAAATGGGCCCACTGTGCTGACTCCCCCACATGCTTTCTTTGCCCCAAAGCAATTTACCTGCAGCCCTGCCTGGCCTAAGTGGACAGGATGTGTTGCATTCCTTAAGAGGAACCAGTTACTTTGAAGGGAGAGACATTTGTGACCCTTTTCACAGACCAGATTCTGGAAGATAAGGATAATTCCTCCAAACCACAAAACCTGTAAAAATGATTAAGAATCTGGTTACAGTTGCTCAGCATGGGCCAAGGGAATCCAGCATTGTCATGGCACTAGGTACTTGAAAGTCTGATGTCACCCTGCTGTCAATTCAAAGGTCAAGAGGTAAACCTGGGTGGAGCTCTCTGGAAAATTCCCTGAGACCCTAAATAAAACTGGAATGCAAAGGAGGCATATTGTCTCCTCCTTTCTGAGAGGACCAACTCTCTCCTTTGAGTGTCTCCTTTCCCTTCAATAAATTCATCCTTGTTATTCTGAGGGACATGTCTGAAATCTTTCTGACTTGATCAGCAAAATAAAGGCTTGAAAAGCGGGTATTTGCGCTGCCTCAGTTTCCTAGAAGACCCCAGCTCTGTAACAGGCCCCTCTCCCAATCTAGACATTTCAGGGGTATGAATTTAGTTAGGATAATCACTTCCCATGAGTCAGATGAGGCTTATCAAGGCCTACTTCCTGCCAGCAGTTTTTACCTAAAAAAGCCATGCAGTTTAGCAGGGGAGAAAAAAGTTCTAAGCACATTTACCTACCTGAACAAAAATTCCCACACTATCTGTACCACCTGGTCTCAGTTCTTAATGGCTGCTGGTTTTTAATTTTACAATGGATTTTAAATTGGGAAATTTTTCTGAGGCCAGGCATTTTATCCCTTACAATGTATTAAACATGGGGATCCAAGATGGTGGGCAGAGGGAGACAGCATTCTGTGTCACTCAGTGACCTGGGACTCAAAATGAGAATACTGCTTCTCTGCGGGCCATATGCCTGCTCCCGTGCAGGAATCATGGTCACTGTGCCTGACCAGGGCTCCAGGCCTCGGTATCAGAGCAGGTCTCCCAACTACTGGCCCACGCAGGACTACCGGGTTCGCGAGCAGGACCACTGGCAACAGCACCCGTGCAGAACTTCCGGCCACCCACCTGAGCAGAAATCCCAGACGCAGCTCCCACGCAGGACATCCAGCAGCTTCCCACACATAGGAACTCTGGCCACCACTCCCATGTGGACCCCCATCTACCAATGTGGGGCTCCTCGGGTCGCCTCCATCTTGGGACTCTGCAGCAGCAGATAGTCCCCTATACGCAGTAGCCTGTCTGCACCCGAGAACTTCACACAGGCTCTGAAGTCAGTTGACAGCCACACACTGCACGCCACAGAGCTCGTCTCTGAACTCATCATCCAACGCCATCACCCAGTTCCCCCACCAGACCCGACGGCCCATCGCTGAAAGCAGGTGCCTCCATCTTGGGTCACCTTCATCACCATCTTTAGTGAAGCAACTCCCAGTTTGGAACTCCTGCTGGCCAGGTATCCAGTTTCTAACTCCCCCTCTCCCCAGCAGCTGCTAACCTGGCACAGTGAGTGACCAACACAAAACAGCTCTCAGTGGGGCAGGTGCACAGTGCACCCAAAGCACCACACTTGAGAGCTCTGGAGAGAAGAGAGAAATGTCCCTCATTTAGGAAGTAGTAAGGGAGAGGGTGAGTGTAGTGTGATAGTTTAGAGACTAACACAGATACCAGGAACTGGGAGGTCTTCAGGCAAG